GGACGTGTGCGCTGCACTCGAGTTTTAAAACTAATTTTAACAGCGCCACACAACAAAATACACAAGTTAACATACATACATATGACATAACAGTGCGCCGAAGTCCCACCACCCCAAGACATTAAACAAGTGTCCATAGGCGACAGTTCTCAGTGAAGTTTTATATTTTGCAGATTGGAAACAGTATAGTGATGTAAACAGTGTTTTTGATCATATACTTTGACCTGTCTACTTGTTTGATTCTATGTTTTTTCTAGATTGTTCTCCCAAACTTTACAGATGGAAAAAGCAGCTTTCATATAGAGTCAGAAGATGGTTGGTGATAACAAGTAGCCCCTCTTGAGTAAGTGGTTATATTGTCTGAAGTAAGAGTTAAAAAGCAATCCTTGGGCACAGGTATTTCTGCATGCTATCATAACGTATACACGTACTCTAAACAACAACATGTAGAGTTACGTTGATGAAGGTTAGACTCAGGAAGTTACTCAAGCAACTGGATATGATTTTGGAAATGGTCGTATGTTTCAGGTAACATCCACTACCTTTCGTCAGTGACAGTAAGAGTTTATAAGTAAGAACTATTGATTGATATCCAGATAAGTAAAGCCAAATTTTTGGAAGTTCAAAAGGAAACAAAAGTTAGACAAGGATGATGCAAATTAGTAAAGAAGCTCCTGTTGTTTCAGAACAGGAGCTTCTGTAACTGCTTAAAGGATCATACATCAAATTGGTGCATATCGCTGAATCATGTTCAAGCCCAGACAATGGTGCATGCTATCAGTCTCCCCAATAGAAGGCAGGGAAGATACCTTGTTTTATATTTTACTTATACTTCTATATTAACTCGACAGGGAACATAATGCAAAAGATATTATCCCCCTCCCTATCTACAGTTCTACAGCTACAGACACTGTTTTAGGTTTCAATGTCAGTCTTACATTCGTAATCGCTTTTACGCATTTGACCAATTGCTGACGACTACAGTCAACGGCCCACCCTGCTGCCACAGACATCACTTCCACCTGATTGGTCACCAGGGCTGAAACATGTAATTACATTCTGAAGTACAGTGACGTCTGTTATGTTGCCGCAGGGTTTGGACCTCCCTGTACTTTGTGACTAACAGAACTTGACTGTTAATTAACGAACCATCCCCAGTCTACAGAGGCTGTTGCTGACTCGTAATGTATGCAGCCTCAATATTCTGCGGCGTTCAACCGAGAAATGCGTTGGAACAGTAGCGTCTTTTGTCGGCAGAAATTTTACATTTTCTCTTTAATGTTGTAACGTTTCTGTGGACTGATTCACGTAGTACGTGCACCAGGTCAGTACACAATTTACAGTCCGTGGTTTCTATTATCAAATGAGGCGGGGCTGTTGTGGTCTGATTCATACTCAGTGGGTGAATAATCATGTGCCTGTTGAACCGACGTTAACACTGTCTTCTATGTACTGCTGACAACTTGTACATTAGACTTGAAAAAATTCTCCTGCATTGTACCTCATGGCAAGAGTCACGAAAGGGAACTCTAAGAGAAGACACCTCGCGGTATCTCAACAGAAACAGACGACAGAGGGGTCCAAAGATTTCACCCAGACAACCACAAAAGGAAGCACAGATCGCCCAGAGAAGGGTGAGTCATGTCAACTGCCGCTGTTCCCCCGGTGGACGTGTTATGTCGTCTGGGTGGTAACCATGTCGGTACGGGTACACATCGCTACTAAACACAACTGGATCTTGCACCCGGACGAGATATTCCAGTCTATCGAAGGTTTGTGGGCCTTTTGTAATATTTCATCATTTCATCCTGTGCGTATGCATATGCGATGTTGCACACTAATAGTAATACATTTGTACTAAAACCTTGACCCTATCTGGTCACAGAACGATAATTTCCACGCACTGTATTGTTGCATGTCATGTCTAATTCCTATATCCGCCTACATATAGGTCGATTTCTTTATCAAGTTCATTCCAAAAACGAGATCAAATCAACCATACATATGCATGACTATATTGTTGTAAGTCATACACTGTTGTCGATGATATTTTGTAGTTGTAATATAATTGTATTTTAAACTGTAGGATAGATTAGCCTTGTACTATCGTTGATTTACTGCCATGATACATTGTACCATTACGATTGACGAGCAATAAAGTTCATTCATGTCTTTGTATGCTACCATTGATTGAATGAAAAATATCTGACACACCCGCGGTCGTTTGTGATTGATTTTTCTCTCGCTTCTAGACAATTCAGACAATGTTTTTTTTTCATCAGTCATAGAATTTTTCCAGGCCTTTGAGCATTCTGAAAGATCACGTTATTGATACTGCTGGCTGATTTAACGGAGGCGATGTTATAAATGTTGTTGTTGTCCTTGCCAGACGTGGTCGCTAGGTGCTGATAAATAATAGATGTGAGATGAAGTTTATTGGCTGTTACGTTTGCGCATGGATGAGTGTAGCACTGAGTACTGTACATGTAGTACAGTAGAGATAATCTCCAAGCAGATCTTTTTGGTGGCTGCAAAGACAGTATCAAATTGGCCAGCCTTTGCCAAGCAGTTACCATATTGGGTGGCGAAATGATAGCTACCTATATATATAGGTAGCAAATGGATACTGACTGACCAATTTGATACTGTCTTTAATTGCAACCACGAAAAGGTCTTAGATATTATCACGGAGAGTCGTGTAAAGTGCCTTTCCCCAAAGCAGAAGGTCTAGCGAGGCACGTCAGGAATCGAACCCGTGACCTCTCGACGTTTTACACTTGCCGTACATTGCACCTGCTACAATTGTCACACAATTTTGTTAATCTCTTTAATGAAATGTGAGCTACCTTTTCTGCTCTTCTTTTCAGTTGCGTTTTCTGAAGTGCACGGCTACACTTGCCATATACTGCACCTGCTACAATTGGCGCACAATTTTCTTCTTCTCTCTAACGAATGCTAGGTAACTTTTCGAATTTCTTCTCGTCTTTCCAGTTGCGTACTCCGAAGTGTACGGGTATGGGTTCCGTTCGTACGAGTTCGGGCCGGTGCCGAGAGTTAACGACACGACAGGAGCGGGGTTCGCGGTGGGGGTGGAGCGGGCTGCCGGTATGTACGCCATGCGATCCTTCATGTACCCAAGGTTCCTTGCGATAACCATGATGGCGGCTGAGGCAGCAGGGTTACAGATTGGCCCATTCCAGGTAGATGGAGGTTACGATTTTAAATGGCTCAATTTTGTTTACCGCGCGTAACCACTAATAAACTATTACAAAGTATATCTTCTCCGTTAGAAAGAACCCATGTTGCATTACAATGGTGACCAGGCCTATTAGCATTAGTCCAATTCAAGCCACCAAGGTGACCAATTAGTCCCACATCGTCGTAACATTTAAGCATGGAGTTAAAAGTTAACTCCATGATTTAAGCCACCCAACCAGCTATTCCCATCTTGGCCCTTGTCAGCTTAAAGAAATTTCTTGTTTTACTTCACAAGGTTTGTTTTTGTCCTGCCTGTTTATTAAGTGTAGTTTCTGAGGGGGTGAAGTCTGCTATCAATATATAATTGTTTGTTTCATGTTTCTACAGGCTGCAAGACTCGGGCACGTCCTCGTGTCCAGTCTGCTCCCGCCCGCGGCACGCCGTCTGACGTGGAAACTGTACCGGTGTGATGACGTCGCCAACATGGCGGCCATTCTAGTCGCTTTGTCAGACCACCTGACCATTCTGGGCACACACACCCTCATCAACAGCTTCTTGTCGCCCTTCCTCTTTCTTAGTCTTGCTGGTATCATCTCAGTCGACGGGAAAACCTTGGAACGCCATCTTGGAAGTGGCCAAGTGCACTCCGACTCAAACACGCCGGAAGGATCTAATACCAAATTCCAGCTTACGTGGGGAGCTGTACTCGGTTTAGTTTGCTACATACGTGTAGATGCCATCATTTTCTTGGGCGCCATCTTGATTTCGACGACATTTCCCATACAAAACAATCTAAGAACACTGCTGGGACAGTTCTGGTGGTCAGGTATAGGCATGTTACTCGGGTTTACGTTAGGAGCACTCGATGACTACCTTTGCTATGGATATTGGTTCATTAGCCCAATTCAGTGGGCAAAATTCAACCTATTCAATGACTACACCACACTTATCTTTGGAGAAGAGGATGCCATGTTCTACGTCCGCCATCTTCTGTTAGACAGTCCCTTTCTTTCACTGGTCACGGCGTCCTCAGTCATGATTCTGGTGTATACGGCACTACCGAACTTGGCTCAAGTTTGGTCTAGGTTATGTTTACGTATACGTAAAAGTCTTTTGCATGCAGAACTGAAACCAGGTCCAGAACATCGTAACAACGCTGGAATACAGCCGGTGACACCTGTACCTTACAGCGGTATGTCAATGCGACTGACGGTCGCCTTGGCGTTGTCGTTCTCCTTTTACGTCGCCAAGGGACACAAGGAAGTTCGCTTTCTCCACAACTGGATCGTACTGTTCCTCGTGTGCTGTTCCGGCTGTCTGGTCAACTCTTTAAAATCGGCGCTGAGCCGAAACAGAACAGCTAGAGGGTACGTACTGTATTCTATTGTCGGAGTTTTGGTTGCGACGACATGGGTGACATTTCCTTCGCCAGAAGACGGGACTGTGAGCAGTTGGGC